ATAAGGCCCCGAGACGGCCAGGGAGAACACGAACCGACAATCCGAATCCTCTGCCCCAAGGCGCGCCCAGGAGGCCCCAAGAGGCCCCCAAGAGAGCCCACGAGGCCCCCTACAGGCCCCACGAGGCCCCCAAGAGGCCCCAACAAGAGGCTCCAAGACGCCCCCAAAACGGCCTCGAGCGGAGCCCCCAGAGAGGGGGGCGGGGAGAGAGATGGGGGAGAATGAGGAAGTGGAGGGGGGAGGAGGAGCTAAGCAGCGCGGGCGCACTGGCGGACCTTCGAGCAGGAGCCCTGGGGAGCCCAGCAACAGAAGCACGCGGCAACTCATGGCGCATGTACTCATATAGGGGCGCACGCATCTGATGGGGATGGGCCGCGCCATCGCTTTTGCTTTCCGTGGCCATGTTGGCTCAAGTTCAGTTGCCTCTTCCAAGCAATTGAACATGACAACTACGTCGGGCCAGTATTCGGGCCAGGCGCCCAAGCGGGCTTGCCTCGGATGGTTGGGAAGAGGCGCATTCGTCCCAGCATCGGGCATGACCAATTTGCTGGAACAGCTGAAGGAGTTCGACATGCGACCAGAGGCGGTCTCATCATCGAGTTATCGGCGGGCTAGCCACGCCTGAACTGCAGTGGCCACGCCATCCCTCGATCGGCGTCCCCCCCTGCGGGCACTGGGTGCGCTTTAGCGGTCGCCGCGGAGGGGGGCTGCGAGAGCGACGCCAATGCTTGCAGGCAGGGAGCGACGCCGATCGCGGGAGGGCTGGTTACTTCGTTTCCCCGGCGGCAAGACATAGCATGCCAACCGACATCGCACGGGCCCCTGGTTCAGATGGTCACAGTCCCCACCCCACAGACGAACACGGGCCACTGGAGTTTCATTTCGCCCACCCGTGGGGGTTTGTAGAGGCCGCGCGCAAGCGCGGCGAGGGGTGCAACGCACGGCTGCAGAAAACGCTCGGTGCCAACAACCACAACAACAAGGCAAAACAACCGGCTGGTGGACCCCGTGAGGGTCCACCAGCTCGCTGTTTCGCTCCTTGTGGCGAAACATCTCACTGGTGGACCCGGACCCCCCTCCCCCCCCCGCAACGCAACGCAACGCAACGCAACGCAACGCAACGCAACGCAACGCAACATATGGTGGGCAAGAGAAACCAAGGGAAGCGTTGGAAAACCCTCTGGAATCATTCGGGATCCTTGAGAAAGCCGACGCATTCCCACGAACTGAAACTATGTGCGCTCCCCCGAGCCGAAATCTACGGGCATGCTATAGAATCCTTAAGGGATGCTATAGAATCCCTAAGAGAAGGCTGCAGAAAACCTAAGGGATGCTATAGAATCCCTAAGGGATGCTATAGAATCCATAAGGGATGCAATAGAATCCCTAAGGGGTGCTATAGAATCCCTAAGGGCTGCTACAGAATCCCTAAGGGTTGCTATGGGATCCCTCAAGGCCGCCATAGAATCCCTTAGGGCTGCCATAGAATCCCTTAGGGCTGCCAAAGAATCCCTGAGGGACGCTATAGAACCCCAAAGGGGTGCTATATAATCCCTAAGGGCTGCTATAGAATCCCTAAGGGATGCGATAGAATCCTTGAAGGGATGCTATAGAACCCCTAAGGGGATGCCATACAATCCCTGAAGGATGCTATAGAATCCTTAAAGGGATGCTATAGAATCCCTAAGGGGACGCTATAGAATCCTTAAGGGGATGCTATAGAATCCTTAAGGGGATGTTATAGAATCCTGAAGGGATGCCACAGAATCCCTGAGGGATGCTATATTATCCTTAAAGCGGTACGATCGAATCCCTAAGGGCTGCTATTGCATCCCTAAGGGATGCTACAGAATCCCTAAGGGATGCCATCGAATCCCTGAGGGATGCTATAGAACCATTAAAAGGGATGCTATATAATCCTTAAGGGGATGCAATCGAATTCCAAAAGGGGTGCTATATAATCCTTAACGGGATGCTATATAATCTTAAGGGATGCTATAGAAGCCCTGAGGGATGCTACAGAATCCCTGAGGGATGATCTAGAATCCATAAGGGCTGCTATTGAATCCCGAAGGGATGCTATAGAATCCCTAAGGGATGCTATTGAATCCACAAGGGATGCTATAGAATCCCCATGGGTCCCGGCGTGTTGCCCGGCGTCCCTCAGTGGTCTGCCCCAGAGGGGGGAGGCGCATGCCCAAATGGCTTGAACCACACATGAAGAGGGAGAGGAGCGCGCCCACGTCAGCCGCAAGGCCACCAGAGCCACGGGAGTCAAATCCGCCGCCGTGCCTCCTGCACGGCAGAGGCGAGTTAGAAGCTGGGCCGGCACGGGAACGAAAAGAGCTTCCTGTGGGGCCAGGGCCACGATCCTCGAGAGACGTGTGCCGAACTGATGTTTCCGTGGGGTTCCGTGTGGGGTCCGGGCCACGATCCTCGAGAGGGGTGTGCCGAAATGAAAATTCGGTGGGCCTCCCTGTGGGGTCTGTGCCACGATCCTCAAGAGGGGTGTGCCGAAATGATGTTTCGGTGGAGCTCCCTGTGGGGCCAGGGCCACGGTCCTCGAGAGGGGTGTGCCGAAATGAAAATTCGGCGGAGTTCCCTGTGGGACCAGGGCGACGATCCTCGAGAGGGGTGTGCCGACATGAAGTTTCGGAGAAACCCTCTGCGAGGCCAGGGCCACAATCCTCGAGAAGGGTGTGCCGAAATGAAATTTCGGAGGAGCCCTCTGAGGCCAGGGCCACGATCTTCGAGAGGGGTGTGCCGAAATCAAGCTTCGGGGGAGCTCCCTGTGAGGCCAGAGGCCCTATAGGATTCCTATAAGATTCCGAAAAAATATGACTCCCATAGGATTCGTAAAAGCTTCCCGCAGGATTCCTATAGGATTCGTAAAGGCCCTTCCTATAAGATTCGCAGGGGCCCTATAGGATTGCCATAGGATTCCTACAGGATTCCTATAGGATTCGTAAAGGCACTCCAGGGTTCCTAAAATATGCCTATAGGATTCCTAGACGATTCGTGGAGGCCCTATTGGATACGTAAAACATCATAGAGGAATCCCATTGGATTCGTAGAGGCCTTAAAGAATTCCGATGGGAGTCCTATAGGATATGTCAAGGCCCTCTGGGATTCCTATCAGATTCCTATAGGAGTTCTATAGGGTTCGTAAAAGTCCTATAGGAACCCGATGCGATTTCTGTAGGAATCCTATAATATTCGCGGAGGCCCTATAGGATTCCTATGAGTTTGCTGTAGGATTCCTATAGGATTCGTAAAGGCCCTGTAAGATTAGTATGGGGTTCCCAAAGGATCCCTATAGGGTTTGTAGAGGCCCTATAGGATTCCTTTGGGATTCCTGTAAGAAGCGGAGAAGCCCTATAAGATTCCCATCGGATTCCTTTAGGATTCCCATAAGATTCGTAGAGGCCCTATAGGACTCCCATAGGATTCCTATAGGGTCCCCACAGGAATCAAGCCCTATAGGATCTATGGGATTCCAATTGGATTCCCATAGGACCCGTAGAGGCCCTCCAGGATTCCCATAAGAACCCGATCGAATCCTTACAGGATTAGCAGAGGCCCTATAGGATTCCTCTGGCAGTCCTATAGGACTCCTATAGGCTGCACAGAGGCCCTATAGGATTCCCAAAGGATTCCCACCGTATATGATTCGTAGAGGCCCTAAAGGATTTCCAAAGGATTCCCATGGGATTCCCATCGGAATCCTAAACGCCCTGTAGGATTCCCATAGGAATCCTAAAGACCCCATAAGTTTCCTACTGGCTTCCTATAGGATCTCTATCGGATTCGTTAAAAAAACTGTAGGATTCCCATCGGCTTCCTATGGGATCCCCATAGGATTCGTAAAGGCCCTATAACATTTCTATAATATCCCCATGGGGTTCCCATAAGGTTCGTAGAGGCCCTATGGGATTCCTGTGGGATTCCGATCGGATTCCTATAAGTTCGCGGAGACCCTGTAGGATTCCCATCGGAATCCTACAGGATTCGGGGTAACGTGCGTTGCGTTGCGTTGCGTTGCGTGGCGCCGGGGGGGGGGGGGGCGGGCGCCAGAGTGGTTTCGTCAACAACAACAACAACAACACGATCGACATGATGTTCTAGAGTGACGAATAATACCACGGCAGCAGATCCAGGGGCGCCACCTAAGGAAGATCCTAGGGGTGGATTGGGCCATCAAACAGTTTTCGTGCCCGGCCTTGTCGTGCAAGCTGGCTTGGGATACTCTGACATCGCCAAGGTCGGACCTAGCGGATATGCTCCCAAGATGTTTGAGTGAGCTCTGCCGTCATGGACTGAAGTGTTTCCTTGGCTCGCCAAGCGGACTAGACCTTAGGCGCGGAATTACCAACCAGATCCCAGGAGAGACCCGCCATATATTGATCAAGGGCAAGCTTTCCATGTACGTCGGCGACGAGCGTGGTTTGAAATTCAGCGCAGAAGCAAAAGGCAGTGAAGCACACCTAATATGTGCCATGTGTGCAAATATTTTTGGACACCAGAGCTCAATGCTGCCATATCCGTCGGGCCCCTGGCTTAGCCCCGAAGAGATTGACGTGAGTGAAGTTCGCAGACAGCCGGATGAATACATTAAGATCTTGCAGACTCGGCCCCGTGAGATTTCGGCAACATCTAGCCCTGGAGAATTAGATGCAGCCGATGCCAGGTTCGGCGGCTGGAACCTGGTTCCCACGGGAATGATGCAGTGCCCCGAGTTGGACATCAAATTGGCCAGCATATGGTGCTTCGGCTGGGTACATTGTTACCTCATCGACGGAGTTGCTGTATTGGAGATGAGCCCATGCTGACGAGCCACGGCCTTGGCTCCGATAAGTTCGACGCATGGTTGTAAGCTTTGCCTTGGCAAGGCGCGCACACCCATGCCAAGGAACTTTGTCGGAGCAGCAAGGAGAAGACGCTGTCTGGATCAGCGTCGGGGTTCTTGTCGACAGCGCCTGTCTTCAGGAAATGTCTGCAAGGTGTCGCGCGCCCCCGCGGCGTGTGCGCGGCCGAGGTGGCCAGTGGCATTGAGCTGGTGAAGGTTTCGGACTTGCTCGCCACCTCAAACTCAGGAGCTGTTCAGCCGCCCGAATTGGGATCAACCATCCCCGAACACCTGTCTCTCCACAAGCAAGCCTACCGCCTCGATGTGTGGAAACCTGAAAAAAACACGAATTGTGGATTGCACTTACCGTGTCGATGGTTGGCGCGCCACGTCGTGTTATCGACATTTTCTTAAAAGCACAGGCTGGCGAAACGTGTCGCAGGGCCCAGCCATTCCCTGCAAGCCTTCGACTGATCGATATTAGAGGAAATCACTGTGCAACATTTGGACGACCTCGAGCCCGGGTCGATTGAACACCCCACCCTGCTCGAGCCCAAGACCCCCAACAAGAGAAACAATACACCGAGTTGCGCGCGAGTTTCGGTGATTGTGCAGATGCGGTTCCGAATTCTAGGGCAGCCTACGTCAATGGTAGGGTTGTGCCAAGCCATGATTGCCCTTCTTTCTGGTATCACGATAGTTCCCTCCGTTTTGGGCGCATCCACTACAACTTTAGTTTGCATGGTCATGCGCACTCGTGCATTTCACCGTGGGAGATGGTTGAATGCGGCGGTACGCTGTACAAATGCAGGGTGCGTGGCCACGGCATCCTGGTGCACGTGTCGTCACTCGTTGAATATTACATGTGTACACCAGCAGCAGAGGGTGCGATTTCAACTGTCGTAACGCCCCCTAAGCTGAAGTTGAGAAAAGGCAACATGGTTTGATCGACGCTGTTTTTGATGTTGGTCCATGCGATGGACAGGAGGTCCGTGGTCAACCCATTTTGGGTGCCAAAATTTCTTGCCGCGCAATGCACTGACGCGATTGTCGCGTGTGCTTCAAATGTTGGCCTGTGGAGGCACTGCAAAGACAATTGAAGCGAAGACGCCTACGGTGAATTTCCGCGTTCCTCGCCTTTTGGAGTACGCCTGCCTCTTGGAGCGTCTTGGGGATCTCTTGGGGGGGGCTCGTACGGGGGCTCCATGAGGAGCCTTGGGTACCTCTTAAGGGCCTCCTTGGGGCCTCTTGGGGCGTCTTCGAGGGCATCTCGGTAGTCTTTCTATGGGTCTCTTCGGGGCCCCTTCTCCCTGCCCCTAACCAACTTAGCTGACTTGGCTAACCTGGATTACTTACCCGAGCCCGTGAACGAATTGCAGGGCTTGGCCTGCTTCACTTGGATCGCTAGCCAGGGTGTATGTGCTTCTTCTAAGTCCAGGACCCATCTTGGTTGGCTGACCTCCTTTCTAAGTCCAGGAACCAAGATGCAACCGCGCGAAGCACATGCCAACCCACCTGACCCTCCCAGTGGGGGCGCGGCTAGGCCTGACTTCCTCGCGCGCCGGGGATGAGGATGACGTGCGTCCACGGAAACTTCCTCGAATAAGCAGCTCCTCCCTGCCGCACCCCCAGACGTGTTAGCAGGGCGGGCTGGGCCTTTCGCCTGAGACTCCTCGCCATCTCTGATCCTGAAGCTTGAAGTCTGTCACATATTCACGGATGAGGTCTTTCAACATGTGGTTCTCGCTTCAGCGCCGCGCATATTCGTCTCAACAGTTTGCAACAACTTCGAGGATGGAGGGCGGGTGGTTTTCAAAATGTGGCTATCGCCTCGGCCCTGCGAACATTCGTCTTCAAAGCTTCCAACCACCTCACGGATCGAGGGCGGATGGCTTTTCAACATGTGGCTCTCGCCTGCGCGCCGCCGCGCAGGTTCGTTTTGAAGGTTTGCAGCCGCTTCAACGATTGAGGGCGGCTCCTAATGTGGCTCTCGCCTCGGTGCCGCGCTCCTTCGTCCTAGACGTTCGCAGCAGCATCCAGGGTTCACATGGTCGAGCTCCTCGAAAAGGCAGTTCTGGCACAACTGAAGACTGTCGTCTGGACGCGACAGTCATGTTGATTCACGGCGTTTCGGGGATGGACAGACCTCCCTTTAGTTAAACGTGGTTTAGTGAAAACGACCTGAGGCCCAAACCTGGCTGGCGCAAACCTGGAAAATGACGGCCACGGCGCCCTCTCGAGAACCGAAAACGGACAATTCACTAATCGACGTGTCACTGTTGGGGGTTCTGTCCACCCCCGACACAATTTAAGACTGTTGTCTGGACGCGACAGTCATGTTGATTCACGGCGTTGCAGTTCCCGCTCCGGCACGACTTGGGACCGTCAGGTCGCGAGAGGCACGTTGATATCCGCGGCGTTGGAGTCCCTGGAACTGTGGTGTTCGGCACGGTGGAAGGCTCTCGGGCGGCCGTCTTCTGATAGGCCACTTCCCGAAATGAGAATCGATTCTTCCATCTACTCCAGATTTCGTAACAAAGGGAGGGGGGTCTCACTTCGGGGGGGGGTCTCCTCCAGGTTATCTTGGAGGGCCTGGGGGGTCTGGGGATGATGTTTTGGAGGGTTCTCCCACGGGGGAGGTCTGGAATGGCTTGTCTTGGAGGGTCCAGACCCCCTCCCTTTTATTACGAAATCTGGAGTACCTGTGAAGAAGAAACTTAGAGGGCAGGTTCATTGCCAACATCATTGATGCGTCTCGGGTTTACACTGACCTTCCTGAGGCTCCTGCTGCTACTCCTCCACCTTCTCTCTCCTCCCAACCCTCCCCTCGCTCCTGAACCACAGGCTCCCATTTCCTTCCCGCCTTTTCCTTCTCCTGCTCCCTCCTGTATTCGTCGCTTCACTCCTGCCCGCCTGTTCCATCTTTCTCATCCCCCTCATCCTCCTCCTCCGCCTCCTCCTCCTCCTTCTCTTTCTCGCTTCCTGCTCGCTTCTTCAATGTCCTTCCTCCTCCTCCTCCTCCTCCTCCTCCTCCTCCTCCTCCTCCTCCTCCTCCTCCTCCTCCTCCTCTACCGTCCACCGCCTTCTCCTGCATCTCATCCTCATCCCTCCATCCATCTCCTCCCGACCTACACCTCAACTTCCTCTCCCCCCTCGCCCCGCGCAACCTCGCTCCTGGGGACGTTTGCGCGCCCGTGGCTCGGCGGTGGACAAGCCTCCCTTTAGCAAACCTCCCTTACAATGAAAACGGCCTGGGACCGAAACCGACGGAACTGGCCCCGCAAAAAGAACGGCCGTGACGCCCTCCCGCGAACCGAAAACGGCCAATTCACTAATCTGAAGGGGCCCCAGGACACACAAATAAATACACACAAATGAACACACGCCCCATATTGCCCAATATTTCCTGGGCTGTTGTCTCCCCCCCCCCACTTCCCATAGTTTCCCATATTTTCCAAGGAATCGACGATTCATTGTGCCTGTGTGTTTTTTCCCTCCTGATAATCGGCGTGTCAGGGTAGGAGGTCTGCCCACCCCCGAGGGGCGCTGCCCGCACAGACAACACTTTACCAGCCTGGAACATATCCCTATCCCTATGCTGGGCATCTCCGTATCACGATGCCAATCTTAGGGATCCCCTTACTTTTTGAGGGCGAATTCCTGAGATTGTCATCGCCTTTTGGCGTGTCAATCTTAGGGATAGGGGCCCCAGGACACACAAACAAATACACACAAATGAACACACGCCCCGCATTGCCCCATATCTCCTGGGCTTTTGTCCTCCCCCCCCACTTCCCATAGTTCCCCACACCTTCCCGTGAATCGACGATTCAGTGTGTCTGTGTGTCTTTTCCCCTCCTGACAATCGGCGTGTCAGGGCAGGAGGTCTGCCCACCCCCGAGGGGCGCTGCCCGCACAGACAACACTTTACCAGCCTGGAACATATCCCCATCCCTATGCTGGGCATCTCCGTATCACGATGCCAATCTTAGGGATCCCCTTACTTTTTGAGGGCGAATCCCTGAGATTGTCATCGCCTTTTGGCGTGTCAATCTTAGGGATAGGGGCCCCATGACACACAAACAAATACACACAAATGAACACACGCCCCACATTGCCCCATATCTCCTGGGCTTTTGTCCTCCCCCCCCACTTCCCATAGTTCCCCACACCTTCCCGGGAATCGACGATTCAGTGTGTCTGTGTGTCTTTTCCCCTCCTGACAATCGGCGTGTCAGGGCAGGAGGTCTGCCCACCCCCGAGGGGCGCTGCCCGCACAGACAACACTTTACCAGCCTGGAACATATCCCCATCCCTATGCTGGGCATCTCCGTATCACGATGCCAATCTTAGGGATCCCCTTACTTTTGAGGGCGAAATCCCTAAGATTGTCACGCCTTTTGGCGTGTCATCTTAGGGATAGGGGCCCCAGGAAACACCAAACAAATACACACACTAAATGACCACACTGAAAATCCCCCGCATTGCCCATATCTACTTGCTTTTGTCCTCCCCCCCCACTGAAAATAGTTCCCACACCTTCCCCGGGAATCGACGATTCAGTGTGTCTGTGTGTCTTTTCCCCTCCTGACAATCGGCGTGTCAGGGCAGGAGGTCTGCCCACCCCCGAGGGGAGCTGCCCGCACAGACAACACTTTACCAGCCTGGAACATATCCCCATCCCTATGCTGGGCATCTCCTAATCACGATGCCAATCTTATTGATTCCCTTATTTCCTACTTTTTGAGGGCGAATCCGCTGAGAATTGTCATCGCCTTTGGCGTGGCAATCTTAGGGATAGGGGCCCCAGGACACACAAACAAATACACACAAATGAACACACGCCCCGCATTGCCCCATATCTCCTGGGCTTTTGTCCTCCCCCCCAACTTCCCATAGTTCCCCACACCTTCCCGGGAATCGACGATTCAGTGTGTCTGTGTGTCTTTTCCCCTCCTGACAATCGGCGTGTCAGGGTAGGAGGTCTGCCCACCCCCGAGGGGCGCTGCCCGCACAGACAACACTTTACCAGCCTGGAACATATCCCCATCCCTAAGCTGGGCATCTCCGTATCACGATGCCAATCTTAGGGATCCCCTTACTTTTTGAGGGCGAATCCCTGAGATTGTCATCGCCTTTTGGCGTGTCAATCTTAGGGATAGGGGCCCCAGGACACACAAACAAATACACACACAAATGAACACACGCCCCGCATTGCCCCATATCTCCTGGGCTTTTGTCCTCCCCCCCCACTTCCTATAGTTCCCCACACCTTCCCGGGAATCGACGATTCAGTGTGTCTGTGTGTCTTTTCCCCTCCTGACAATCGGCGTGTCAGGGCAGGAGGTCTGCCCACCCCCGAGGGGCGCTGCCCGCACAGACAACACTTTACCAGCCTGGAACATATCCCCATCCCTATGCTGGGCATCTCCGTATCACGATGCCAATCTTAGGGATCCCCTTACTTTTTGAGGGCGAATCCCTGAGATTGTCATCGCCTTTTGGCGTGTCAATCTTAGGGATAGGGGCCCCATGACACACAAACAAATACACACAAATGAACACACGCCCCACATTGCCCCATATCTCCTGGGCTTTTGTCCTCCCCCCCACTTCCCATAGTTCCCCACACTTTCCCGGGAATCGACGATTCAGTGTGTCTGTGTGTCTTTTCCCCTCCTGACAATCGGCGTGTCAGGGCAGGAGGTCTGCCCACCCCCGAGGGGCGCTGCCCGCACAGACAACACTTTACCAGCCTGGAACATATCCCCATCCCTATGCTGGGCATCTCCGTATCACGATGCCAATCTTAGGGATCCCCTTACTTTTTGAGGGCGAATCCCTGAGATTGTCATCGCCTTTTGGCGTGTCAATCTTAGGGATAGGGGCCCCAGGACACACAAACAAATACACACACAAATGAACACACGCCCCGCATTGCCCCATATCTCCTGGGCTTTTGTCCTCCCCCCCCACTTCCCATAGTTCCCCACACCTTCCCGGGAATCGACGATTCAGTGTGTCTGTGTGTCTTTTCCCCCCCTGATAATCGGCGTGTCAGGGCAGAAGGTCTGCCCACCCCCGAGGGGCGCTGCCCCCGCAGACGACACCGGCCTCTTTCCGGGCACGCGCCGCGGCCGCCGCTGCGGGCGGAGCCCCTCCGCCGGCGCCCGGGCTCCACACGCTGGCGCTGGGAGCCCTGCGTGCCCGCTGGGCAGCCCAGCCTCTCCGCTGCTTCGGCGGTGGGCAGACCTCCCTCTTAGTAGACCTCCCCTCAGCGAAAGCGGCCTGGGACCGGAACCGACGGACCCGGACCCGCAGAAATGACGGCCGCGGCGCCCTCTCGCGACCCGAGCACGGCCAATTCGCTAATCGGCGTGTCAGGGAAGGAGGTCTGTCCACCCCCGACTGCTCGCTGCCAACCGCCCCGCCCGAGCGAGGTGTGTTCGCACTTCTTAGCATTCGGAGGATAGGGGGCCAGATGCGAACCCTATACCCCTCCCCCTCAGCAATCGTGGGGGGAAGGGGTAGTTCGCATGTGGCTCCCTAGATGAACACATCGTCATCGTCATCGTCATCGTCATCGGCCCGAACGAAGTCCGCCGGCCCCCGTCCACTGGGGTGCTGCAGCACGCGACTCGGCATCGGAGTGCCTGGCACAAACGATCCTGTCTCCAGCGGGCACGTAACAGTCCGAGAGCACTTCACGAAGTAACGGCGGTGCGAGAGCGCTGCGCATCTGGGTCGAGTCCGGGGAGTCCGGGGAGTCCAGGAGTCGAGGAATCCTGGGAAGTCCAGGGAGTCCAGGGAGTCCGGGGAGTCCTGGGAGTCTGAGGAGTCCGGGGAGTCCAGGAAGTCCGACGCCAGGACTCTGATCCTTGGCCGCGTGGGTCATTAGACGCCCAGCCAGAAGATAACTCCGTCTGGATGGTTGCGCAGCAATGGTCTATATCGTGACCTACCGGGTACCATTCTTACTTTCATACATTGCATGCGTAACAGTTTCACTAAGAACTGGCGAGCCTCAAGTGGACAGGTCGTAGACCATGGAATGAAACGCCTTCGAACATGTCAACGACGGCAAACTCTTTGAGCCAGCATAGGTATCTCGGGATCTTGATATTGTCATCGGCTTACGATTCACGATGTTGCCTGGGGGAGGGCGCCTGATGGAATGCCAGGTATCTCGTTCTTTCCATTGGCTGCTTGGAAGTATACCGCTCTTGTGCATCTTTGCCCTCTGGCAACCTTGCCATGCGCTTGTCAACCATCACGGAAGGTTTCTGAACATGATAAGAAATCTGGATTCTGGGATGGACGTCCTCAAACTCAACGCTGAGAACGCATTCTGCAACACGGGAAGACAAGACAAGACAACGAGACGGTACGACCAAACGAACAACGACGACATGACGGAGCCATCAAAAGCTTGCCTTCGAACGTACGCCTACACACGTGACGGCGCCCAAGACATTACTCGTGCGATGGAGAGCACGATGAGGATACCATCGGACAAAGGATGAGCAACCAATGACTAGACCATACGGGCCCACCTCGCGCCCACCGCCCACTCTGCCAACGTTTTGTGCCAGATAAGTGACCTCCTTGCTCGGGTGTCTGGTCCGCGTCAAGAGCATTTTGACGAGTCCACGCCAAGGGCACGACGAATCCTAACGTCCCTCGGCGGACCTCAGCCCAAGCTGCCGGGAGGCGCCGTCGCAGCCCGCCCAAAATCCCACTGCCAATGCTGGCGGCAGCGCGGCCCGCTTGCGTTTCGCCAACCGGCCGTGCGCGGCACATGGCCGTAGGGTCTGGGCGTGGTGGTACACAATTGGTAGGGCGAGAAAGCGGGGAGTTTCATCACCCTGGGGCGGTGTCGGTGTAGGGTACGTTTTGCATACGCTTCGTCGAGAGCTGGCGTCGAAAGGCCGACAGGCTCCCCCATATAGCCGAATCGTTTCTTCACAAGGCATACGTCTCGAATTGGTCATGTCTTGTGCAGAACTGATCCTCCTCCTGTCCGCTGTCAAAAGTATGATCTGGAGGCAACCGGACGCGTTTCCCTCTGCCCCCGCGAGAAGTCGCACGCGACCCTGCCATCCCAGACATCCGGCCGCTCCAATTTGTTCGATGCGTGGGCCCCAGAGGTCTACCACTTCGCGGAGGCCTGTTTTTCGTCCTGGGTCGTTTCTTAACGGTCCCGAGGCCTGGCGGGCGCCCCTGGAGCCTGAAAACGGCTGGAAACCCGCCGCTGTTTTGCGGAACGTCGGATCTCTGGCATCCGCCCTGCAAGCGCGGTCCAACCGGTCACGCCTCCTTGCACGCATCGCCCCCCGCCCTCCCGAGGCTCCCTGGGCCGCGCTGACGTCCCCCTGCAGCGCTCGAAACATCTCCGAAACCTCCAAAACTCTGACGTGAGGGGCCAGGCGCTCATCCGAGACAGCCCTTACGACGCAGTGTGCTGCTGTTGTTCTCTCCACAGCCCGCGACCACAAATCGGCGGCGAGAGGGGGGGGGAAGGGAGAAAGAGAAGGCCTTCTCAGAAGACGGCGGGACTTCTGAGAAGCCCTCGTGCCTTCTGAAGAGTCTTCTGCGTCTTCGGGGAAGGCTCAGAAGACTTCTCAGAACGCCGGGGAACTTCTGAGCCCTTTATCGGCGGTGGACAAACCTCCCTTTAGCAAACCACCCTTTAGTGAAAACGGCCTGGGACCGAAACCGACGGACCTGGACCCGCAAAAATGACGGCCGCGCAACCCTCTCGCGAACCGAACACGGCCAATTCGCTAATCGACGTGTCAGGGTAGGAGGTCTATCAACCTCCGACTCTAAGAAGGCCTGCCCCTTCTCACTTCCCCACTGGGCGTGCCGTCGAACAGAGGAGGGGCCAGAGGAGGGGAAGGCAGCTCTGGGACGAGGCGCTGCCAAACGGGCCCGAAGCTGGCCGGAGAAGGCGGCGCCTGCTGTGGCAAACGACGTGAGCTTAAGCTGTCGGAGGTACGTGCGGCTGTCTTGGATCATGTTGCTCCCATCGCACTTACGGACCACATCCCAGAAAGAATTCCGAACACCCAGCAAAATGTCAAAACAGTGTCGAACGAGTGTCACCTCCCAGGGCACGACACGTGAAAACCTTAGAGTTTCCGTGCTTTCTTGGTGCTCGAAGATCTTTCTGGTGATCAAGGCTAAAGCAAGTTGGAAAATCAGAAGTCTTGGATCGGCGCTGGGCCCCCCTTGCGGCGCGCCAGGGAAGGGGGGCCGAGGCGCCGACCTAACAGATCCGCGCGGAGTTCCGGAGGTCTGCGATTGTGCCGTTGTCTCTTTCTCGAGGGGCGGCCGAGGAACTCCACGAAGGCCGCCAGGACAGCCCAAGATTCCTCCAGTGGGGCCCAGGACTGCCCGTCCCAGAGGCGCTCCGGGCGCGGACGCTGGCGACGAGACAGCTGCTGCTGCTCCCCAACCATCTCCCAGGGATCGAGCAATCTTACGGGTCCACCCTCCCCCTTCCCTCCTCTTTGTTTCCTCGGTGGCGGCTCGGAGCGTGCCCCTGTGGAAGCAGTCACGCACCAGAACGAGGGGAAGGCTGAGAACAGGACACGAGGGCAGGCGTCACTCCTCTGAAGGCACCTCGGCCCAGCACCACTCGAAGGAGGAGAAGCAGAGGTGGAAGCCCTCCCCCTCCTCCTCTTTCCAGGCCGTCTGCAGTTTTCTTTGATTGCCCCACTGTCGTTTCCAGCGCTTCGCGCCGTACGCCGCCCTCCTTTTTCTGTGCGTTGGGCCGCCTCTGCAATGCCGAGTCCGACCCGTCCCTCCTCATCTGACTGCCTCCCTCCTTGCGAGCAGGGGGGGGGAGAACGAGGTGGATCTGCATCCGCTCAGGATCTGTCCCCAGACCCCTCCTGGAGTGCACCTGGTGCAGTCTTTCACCCCGGATCCATGTTTGACGGTCTCCGCCCCCGGCGACCGAAGGAGGCAAAACACCTCCCCGAGCCCAGGAACTCGAACCTCGACCCCCTTCTACGCCACGAATAGATAGATAGATAGATAGATAGATAGATAGATATATAGATAGATATAGAGATAGATAGATAGATAGATATATAGATAGATAGATAGGTATATAGATAGATAGATAGATATAGATAGATAGATGAATATAACGATATATATATATATATAGAGATATATAGATAGATATATATGTATATACATAGATAGATAGATAGACATACTTATATATACAGAAATATAGATATACATAGATAGATAGGTAGATGTATGTGTATATATATGTATATATGCATATATATATATGTATATGGGTATATATATATATATCGATATATAGATGGATAGATATATATGTGTATATATAGAGATATATAGCTGGGTAGGTAGGTAGGTAGGTAGGTAGGTAGGTGGATATATATATATATGTATATATATGTAGACATATATATGTATATATACATATATATATATATCGATACATAGATAGATATATAGATAGACAGATAGATAGATGTACATATATATAAGGATATATATATACAGTTAGATAGATAGTTAGGTAGGTAGGTAGGTAGGCCGATAGGTATATATATATACACACAGAGACGTCCTCCTACGAATTGTGCATGCACCTTCAGGAAGGGCGGCGGTGTATGAAGTCGCTGGCTCTCAGCGGTGATTGTATACCGCCACCCTCCCCTGAAGCTTAGGAACAATCCATTCGAGAGTGTCTGTGTATCTTTTTGTGGCGGACCTTCCTCTCGAGCTGCCCTCGTCCAGAGCGCGCTTCCAGGGGGCTCCAGCGCCGATGCGAAAAATATCCACGCGGACCTCCGAAAGTTATGTTTACAGTCGGACCTAAACCAGATTATCATCCCTCAAGAACATGAGACCCTCCGCTGGCCCCAAACTGAAGAACATTCGAGGGTGCCCTCCCCGAGGATGCATGAGAACATCCAACAAACACGAGGAACATCAGGGCACCCTCCCCGAACCGATCTCGATCTTATACCCCGGCCCGACTGTATGATGTTTGCCTGCAATCGGTAGCATGCTGCTCATGCTCTTGCTGCTGCTGCTGCTGCTGCTGCTGCTGCTGCTGCTGCTCGCCCTCCTCCGCCCAGGATCGGAAGCGACTGTGTGGGCGAATAGCCACAGGAGCGGGCCTTGCACGAATCCGCCCGGGAGCCTCCCCGAAGACACGGACCATCGGCGCCCCTGGATGCATGTATTCGTCTCCCATGGGCTGTTCTTAAGTCGGGCTTGTCCGACTACAGTCGGGGCGTTGACCTAAGGAACCCTAAATAAGGAACGAGGCCCCTTTCTCCCATAAGTTGAACTTCGATTTCGCATCGAAAACCTCAGGAAAAACTAAGGCAAGCTGCGAAACAATTAAGGAGCACGGAGCCCCTCCCCAACCAAAAGGGTTCCTTCTTCAGCGCCCCGACTGTATTCGTCTCCCGTGGGCTGTTCTGAAGTCGGGCTTGTCCCACTACATGCGGTTTTTTGGGGGCGAAAACTTTAAACTAGTCCGGGGAAAATTCAAAATAGCCAGAAATGGTCCAAACATCGTCCCCAAGCTATGTTTAGACTGTTTCTGAATCATCCTCCTGTAGAGGTCCAGGCCCAACTTAAGGCTATTCGCCCCTATCTTCGCCTCCGCCAAGTGTGGAAGGGGCGCTACCGGGCGCGAAAGGCCGCTCCCGGCGGTGGCCGCGGGCGCCGCCCGCGCGGCGCGCGGAGCCGCATCACTATGGCGACAAGGTGCAGCGCCACTGAGGCGCGAGGAGCCGGAGGAGGAGGAGGTGGAGGAGGAGGAGGAGGAGGGGGAGGAGGCGAATGAGACTGCCAGTTCACTAAGTGAAAGGAGGGTGAGGAGGAGGAGGAGGAGGACGAGGAGGAGGAGAGAGCGGGGGAGGAGGGGAGGAGGAGGGGAGGAGGAGGAGAGGAGAGGAGAGGGAGGAGGAGGAGGAGGAGGAGGAGGAGGAGGGTAGGAGGGGGGAGGGGGGGGGAGGAGGAGGGGGGAGGAGCGGGAGGACAGGAGGAGGATGAGGAGGAGGAGGAGGAGGAGAGGAGGAGGAGTTGGAGGAGGATGGAGGAGGAGGAGGAGTGAGGAGGGGAAGGAGGAGGAGTGAGGAGGAGGAGGAGGAGGGGGAGCAGCAGAAGGAGCATCAGGAGCAGCATGAGGAGCGCCACTGCCAAAAGAGGAAGGCGGGCAAGAGAACGAACGAGAAGAAAACCCGTCCAGGGGCAAGAGAAATCCGCATCCCCTCCAGGGGGCATGAGAGGCACAGGAAGCCGACGAGAGGCAGCGGCGGTCATTGGGGGCGGCTGACGCGTGGCCATATTCCCTGACACACCCCGCAATTCACACCCACGTCATCAAGCAAGTCAAGAAGTTTATGCACTCGGCGATCGCGGGCGAGCGGCGCAACCGCTGAGCCAGCCGAGCACGTGCGGCGCACGAAATCCTCTCCCCACGGACGCTGCCGCGGTGTCGGTACGAATGGTAGCACGAGCAGGCCCAGTCATAGAAAACCGCGATGGAGACCAGCTGGGGCAGGGAAAAGAGGACGGAAAGGGGCGACACAGCGACGAGCAGGACCAAGACAAGAGACAAACGAGGGAGGAAGACGAGAAAGAAGCGGAAAGAGGGAGAGGCACATCGAATCATGCTTCATAGAATTATCAAGTGTACCGCTCCTCGGAAGCCCACAACAAAAACACGGCCGAATGGGGTCCGAGAAGCGTCCTGAGCAACACCATCCATTGACGAGTGTGCGAAGGGCGGAAGCCAGCACTCAAGGAGGAGCGTGCTGGGCGATGCGGACAAAGGAAGCTACAAGGCACTGCAGGACATTGCCAGTGCGCGGTATGTTCTTTCGGATGCGCTCCCCAAGGGTGTCAGAGGCAAGGATGCCCTCGGCCGCCTTGAGGGCCGCAGGGGTGGCCTGTTGGATCCCACGGGCGGGGTCAATGGGCACCCCAGGAACGCTGGTCAGCGCACGGAACGTGGAGTACATGTGCTGGAAGACCAAGGCCTGCAACCAAATATCATGGCAAGAGGCAGTAATCCAATTGTCGTCGTCGGCAATGGACGCCGACAGGTCCCTGAAACGAAAGACGGCAGGGAAAGACACCGCGCAGCGGTACTGCGCGGCGCGACTTCTCCTTCCAAAGCCGACGAGCCTCGACAGGGAATCCGAGCTGGACAAGAGAGCCGAGAAGGTCAGACGAGAAGGCATTGCGAGGGGCAGCACACAAGGTCTGTTGCGCCATAGGGTGCTCCCTGGGCGGCCGAAAATGATACCGTCTCCTATCGGTTGCGCCATAGGTTGCGCCCTCGGCGGCCGAACATAAAACCGTCTCCTCTCGATTCCGCCATACGTTACGCCCTCGGCGGCCGAAAATAAAACCGTTTCCCAGCGGTTGCGCCACAGCTTGCGCCCTCGGCGGCCGAGAAGAAAACGTGTCCTATCGGTTGCGCCATACGTTGCGCCCTGGACAGCCGAGAATATAACCGTCTCCCATCGGTTGCGCCATAGGTTGCGCCCTCGGCGGCCGAGGATACAACCGTCTCCTATCGGCTGCGCCGTAGGTTGCGCTCTCGACAACCAACCATAAAACCGTCGCGTAACGGGTGCGACCAGTCTGTTCAGTTCAGTATCGCTCAGTTCAATGAATTTACCTCGCGAGAAACAAATTCGGGGTACGCCCGAAAAGAACACTGCGTAAAATGTCGCGCTCACCGCCGCAAGAGGACTCCCAAGACTGCCAGCAGGCGCCCTTAAGGCCCCGAGGAAGCTCCAAGACGCTCCCCAGACAGCCCAAAAGAGCTTCCCAATATGGCCCACTGAGACTGCAACACTGCTTCCTCGAGGCCCCCAAGACGCCCCAAGAGGCCCCCAAGAGGCCCCCAAGACGCCCCAAGACCCACAAACTGCTCCCAAGAGGCCCCCGAGAGCGCTCCGAAGAGACCCGAAAGAGCATCCCTGAAAACCTTGACCCGCATACTAGGCACGGTGGCGGGATGGGCCGAGTGCCATTAGATCCGCCGCCCCCTGTGCTTGTCACAGGGGTGCCTGGCGTGCTGAATCCTCTGGGTTTTGGCTTTGGTTCTTTTTCCAAAAGAACTCCCCCTGGGGCTTCGGCCCGTCCCGCCGGCCACCCGGAAAGGACCTCAATTGCACAAGATGGCCTCCATGATGGCCACGTTGGCCCAAGATGGCCTCCAAGATGGCCTCCGATGGCCTCCAAGTCCGCCCAAGATGGGCCAAGACGGCCTCCAAGACGGCTCAAGAGAGTCCAAGACAGCCCAAGAAGGCCCAAGAGGCCCCCCAGAGGCCTCCAAGACGACCCCAGAGGCCTCCAAGAGGTCCTCCAGGAGGGCCCGAAGAGGCCAAAATCATTGAAATCCCATAGGTTTCTGAAGGATTTGGGCATTCGCTTCTTCTCGGCTTTCCGACGGCCCAAGACGGCCCAAGAGGCCCCCAAGAGCGCCCCCACAGCGCCCAAGAGGCCTCCAAGATGGCCTCAGGACTGCCCCAGAGGACCCCAAGACGGCCCCACGAGGGCACAAAGACGACCCAGGAGGCCTCCAAGAGGCCCAAGATGGCCAATAAGACAGCCCTGGAGCACCCCAAGAGGGCCCGAAGTCGACCCAGAAAAGGCCCCCCGAACGGCTTCCGACGGCGTCAGACGGGCCAGGGGCCCACCAGATGGCCGAACTTGGCTCGAAGCTGGCCCAAGACGGCCCAAGAGGCCTCCGAGAGGGCCTCCAGTCAGGCCAGAAAAAGCCGAAAAACACGGATGTCCCATAGGTGTTTGAAGGATTTTGACATTTGCCTCTTTTCGGTCTTCCGACAGCCTGATAGGGCCCACGAACCCCCAAAGGTCGCCCCAAGATAGCACAAGATGCCTCCAAGATGGCCCCACAACGGCCCAGGAGGCCCCCAAGACGGCCCCAAGAGGCCCCCAAGACGGCCCAAGAAGCTTTTAAGACGCCCAAGATGGCCTCCAAGACGGCCCTGGAGCATGCCAAGAGGGCCCCAAGTCGGCCCAGAGAGGCCCCGCTTCCGACGGCGTCGGACGGGCTAGGGGCCCACCAAGACGGCCGAAGATGGCGCGAAGATGGCCCAAGACGGCCCAAGCGGCCTCCAAGAGGGCTCCAGGAAGGCCCGAAAAGCCCAAAATCATTGATTTCCCAAGAGTGTTTGAAGGATTGTGGCATTTGCTTTTTTCGGCTTCCGACGGCCCGAGACGACCCAAGTGCCCCCAAAGATCGCCCAAGAGGCCCAAGACACGGCCCCAAGAGGCCCCCAAGACGGCCCAAGAGGCCTCCAAGACGCTCAAGATGGCCTCCAAAACGGCCCAAGAGCCCTCCAAGACGTCCTCCAAGAAGGCCCGAAAGGGTCAAAATGGCCTCCAGGCGGCCGAGATGACCTTCAAGATGCCCACGTGTTCCGGGAAGGCTTTCCAAACCGATTCGGGGAACACATGGTCCGATAGCTTGGCAGGTCTGGCCTCAACGTTCAGCCGCATAGGCGCTTCCAAAAAGGCAGGGTGCAGCGGTGGTTCGCTGCAGGCGTCTTCGATACGAATGGTAGAAAAACATCATAGTTTGCCCAAGCGCCGGGGCGCCTGTGAGAGCTCCCAAGAAGCAGTTCAATCGAGCGACACCCTGAGCCCATGCCAAGACAAAAATCTCCAGAGAGGGAGTCACAACCTCTGCGCTGCGCACAAAAGGGAAAGGGAGACGTAGCCTGCCTCCCGCACCGCTCGGAGGCGGGCGGGCCAACGCTCGCACGCCGACGCAGTGCAGCTGGCGCTCCGCTGCGCACTCCGGCCATCAGTCGCTCGCTGCCTGGCGATAGTCGGAAGCGGCGCTCGCTCCAGAGAGAAAGAAATGAGCCAAACCAGAAAGAGAGAAAGAGAGAGAGAGAGAGATGAGGGAGAGAGAGATGGGGAAAGGATTATATTGATACCTGAGTCTATACACACAGAGAGGGGGGAATGCGACTGATACAAACAGACAGAGCGAGAGATAATGATATCATCTATTGATATATATATATATAGAGAGAGAGAGAGAGCGAATGAGATAGAGGTAGAGAGAGAGAGAGAGAGCGAGAGATTATGCATGCAAAACCATGGGTCTTCCACAGGTTCAGTAACGCTAGCTACCGCCGTGTCTAACAAACACTCACTTTCAAACACTTGCTGCGCTCCGCGGCGTGGCGGCAGCAGGCAGGACCTCGTTCTGGGCCAGGCCGCGCTTCCGCACCGACCTCGCTTCATCGAGGACCGCGACTTTGAAGTCTTGGCACGCACGCTCAACGAACGACAGTCTTCGCTCGCTGGCAAAGGCTGCATCTCACAGGGAGGAAGGACAAAGGCAGGGAAGACGTCGGTCATTTGGCGGGCTCTCTCGTCCGACCCCTTCCCCCCCTTCAAGGGAGGGACTCGCGTACCCCTCCGACGCCACACACACACACACACATCCTTCTCTGTCTTTGGGAGTCAGGACCAGGGTTTCGCGCCAGATTGGACCTTCCAAACAAGCCCGAAATGGTGCCAATATAGCGACAGGTAGCCAATGATGGTCTCGAGGGTGGCGCAATTTTGTCCAAGAGCCCTCAAGATCGATAGCTCGAAGATGGCCCAAAGTAGCCACAACACAAACCCGGAGAGCCTCATGTATCAATGAAAAATGAATACGGAATGGCACTTGTTGGATTGGTGGACGGTAGTATGGCCACACTTAGCCACCATGCATCGCATTGGTAACATCATCGGAGAGCATCGCAGAGCCATCATGGTGGAAGATGATGGCTGGTAGAGAGACCTCTCCCTGGTATTCCCTCGAAGCGACGCCACCCCGCACATGAACACCCGAAGCACGTTCCAAGCGACATTGAGAGGGCGTGTATTTTTACTGGTTCCGAATTGGCAGCGCTGTTCAGGCCCCCAACGATGCCCCAATTGGGGCTTGCCTCAATGTCTCTTACTTAGGAGAGGATTGCCTCCCTCCTGTGACGCAGGGCTACCATCCTCCTCCTCCTCCTCCTCCTCCTCCTCCTCCTCCTCCTCCTCCTCCTCCTCCTCCTCCTCCTCCTCCTCCTCCCCCTCCTCCTCCTCCTCCCCCTCCTCCCCCTCCTCCCCCTCCTCCCCCTCCTCCTTTTTAGGGCTTGCCTGGATGCCTCTCTCCTGCCGTTGTGAAGGAAGCGCTGCCGCGCGGGGGCGCGGCCAACGTGCCGCGCCGAAGCGTGGTGGGCCTGAGCCGGGGGCGCGACACGCTGAGCATAAGCCTCCGACTGGCATGACCACCCTCATTAGGGGGCCGCAGGCGAACCCTACCCCTATCCCCTACGCTTTCTGAGGGGGAGGGTGGGGTTCACTTCGCCTCAGAAATCGTAGGGGGGTAGGGGTAGGGTTCGCATGCGGCCCCCTACTCATGAAAGAAGCACTCCACACGAGCGAGGCCCTCGGGTGAGCGCACCATGGGGGAGGAGCCCAGCAGGGCGGGTCTGCCGAATGTGAGCGCCCGGGACTGTCCAGAAGAGTGCCATTTTTTTGCGGGGTCGGTACGTTCTTGTTTTTCATCCCTGCAGGGAGGGCGCTGGGGGGAAACGACCGGGAGGACTGGCTCAGGAGGGGAGCATTGAGCCGAAGATCCGCGACAGTGAAGGGGCCCCAGGACGCACAAACGAATACACACAAATGAAAGGATTCCCCGTATGTTCCCCTATGTTCTGGGTTGCTGTCTTCCCCCCACTTCCCATAGTTTCCCATATTTTCTGTCTGGGGAATCGACGATGGATTGTGTGTGTGTGCGTGCGTGCATCCGTGCGTGCGTGCGTGCGTGCGTGGGTGTGTGTGTGTGTGCGTGCGTGCGTGCATGTGTGTGTGTGTGTGCGTGCGTGCGTGCGTGCGTGCGTGTGTGTGTGTGTGTTTGTGTGTGTTGTGTGTGTTGTGTGTGTGTGTGTTGTGTGTGTTGTGTGTGTTGTGTGTGTTGTGTGTG